AAGCCGGCGCCAGCCTCTCGGCCCTCTCCCCGGTCCCATCCTCTTCCTCGGCGCCCCACGGCTCACCGAGAATCCTGCTGCCTTCTAGAGGCGAGCAGGTCCCTGGAGGCCCCCGAGGGCAGGTTCCCGGAGGGACACGGCTGGAGATCCTCCTTGCCTTGGAGCTCCCCGGAGGACACCACACAGTCTTGCTCGGGGTCATTGCTGTTGCCCGCCCCTCGCTTTTTGTCCTCTTCCTTCTTCCACTTCATCCGCCGGTTCTGGAACCAGATCTTGATGTGTCTCTCGGTCAAGTTCAACATGACAGCCAGCTCCACCCGCCGCGGCCTGGAGATGTACTTGTTGAAGAGAAACTCCTTCTCCAGCTCCAGCAGCTGCGCCCGCGTATACGCCGTCCTCGTCCGCTTGTTCTCCTCCGGCTCCACCACGTAGGACCCCCCTGGAGAGAAGGGACAGTCAGCTCCGGCCGCCCCCTCGGGCTGCGGGGGGCCATGTCCCCGCAGCCCTGCGCGGAGCGGAGGACACGCGGGGGGAAGCAAGCGGGGTGAGAGGGCGGCCTCGGGGAGCCTCCCCTGGCCGGGCACAGCAAGGCAGTGCTGGTGGAGGCTGTCAAGAACGCTGCTATTTTATTTTGTAATAATGGGGGGTTTTTTAACAATAATTTGGTCGAAGTTTTCAGGGAAACGCTGTCCCTCAAGCTGAGGGACATGTTTAAGCACCACCGTTTGCGTGTCGCCGAAAGCTCCGAAGGGCTTCCAGCTCCAGGGCCTGGCAATTACTCAGATTCGTGGAAAAAGAAGAAGAAAAATGAAAAGGAAAAGAAAAAGGCAAAGGAAAAGGAAAAGACAAAGGAAAGAAAATTATAAAGAAAAGACAAAGAAAAAGACAAAGAAAAAGACAAAGAAAAAGACAAAGAAAAAGACAAAGAAAAAGACAAAGAAAAAGACAAAGAAAAAGACAAAGAAAGAAGCTCCCTAACCCAAACCAGAACAAAAAAAAATATTTAAAAAAACCCCCAATAATATAAAAAAATCCAGACCAATTTTCCTGTGTGCCACATACGCACAAGCAGCCAAACAAAACATAATTTAAAAAACCCCAAATATCTCACCTTTCCTGTAAAGGGCCCGGAGGAGAAG